CCATCACATGAAGCAGTCAAAATTTTAAATGAGATGAGATCTGGAAATACACCTTTTACACTGCAAAGAGTTGTTATACACATACTATTTTTGTTGTACTTGTAAGCGAGATACTGTGTCAGACACTCAAAGAACTGGAAGGTAAGTCAGGTACACATGCCTTTTTTTTTTTTTTTTTAATTTTTTTTTTTTTTTTTGTCAACGTTTATTTTTGGGACAGAGAGAGACAGAGCATGAACGGGGGAGGGGCAGAGAGAGAGGGAGACACAGAATCGGAAACAGGCTCCAGGCTCTGAACCCATCAACCCAGAGCCCGGCCGCGCCCCTTGGGAGGGCTGGGAACTCACGGACCTGGTGTGACCTGGCTGAAGTTGGACGCTTAACCGACTGCGCCACCCAGGCGCCCTAACACATGCCTTTAAGGAACTTCAACTATTAAAGAGGTAAAGGACATAAAGAACTATTCCACAAGGCAAGACATAGATTTCTACTAGAAGCATAGAAATAGTACACAAATTCATATCTACTGATAGTTCAGCAAAAAAAGTTTCCACTTGGACAGACATAAAGGATAAGTCCTTGACATATTAAGATGTGGCACAGGGAGAAAGAAGGTACTATTTCACGTGGCAACCTTGGCAACATGAGGAGAGAGAGTCTGGGGATATATATATTTATGAATATGACTATTAACAAGAAACATTCTGATTTGCATTTGTGTAATTTTCATTTTCAAAAAACACTATGTCACAAAGTATGAAATGTTAGAATAGTTTTCTTTAATCCAGTCTTCATGATGAGAGGAGAAGAAAAAAACAGTAAATGAGAACAACCAAAATGTTTTTCTAGAGTATATTCAGAGGATTATCTATGTTAGCCTACTTGCTGACACAGTACAATATAATAATGATATGCAGAATAAGGACGCCACGAAATTATAAGAGATAAATCACTAAAGATGTGTGGTACTTCTTAAGCTAGGAAAGTTAAATAAGGTCCAATAATGAAAAGTGTTTTACCAAAGGATAAAATTGTTCAAAACGCTAATCAAAACATGATTTTCTGTTCATTTAAAAAGGAAGACTATATATTTGAATTTCTATTTTCCAATCTCAGTTACTCTTAAACTCTAATCAACATATATTTCTAACTACTTTATTTTTTTTGTATTCTAGTCAAATGTGTATTTTTACTCTAGAGATATGTGTATTTTATTTAGCAACCTGCTCACAAATCCTTCATTAATCAACCAATCCCTTAGTGTCTGTAAATACACAACTTCAAAAAGCACTGCTCCTAATTACATCAAAATGAATAAGCTTTGCAATACAAAATCTATATCCAAACGATTACTTAAGCACCTATACCTATTCATTACTTAAAAGTTGTTTCATATTTTATAATTAGCAATAAAATGGCAAATTATATCAACAAAGCAATGATATATACTTAAGGCACAAAATGATTTGCTCACATAGGGAGTCATTAAAAAGGAATTTTACATTAGATAACTTAAGAAACATAACATTACTGCTTAGAAATTTTTATTAGATAAATCTGCTATATTTATGCAATTTTAAATCGATAAAGAAACACCAAAATGATAAAAAGGTGTCAAATTGATACGGTGAGGCCTAAGGTATTGCACGTTTTTCCTACTGTTTGTGGCAATACATTTTAAAATTAGAGGATATATGTTAGGAACTAATAAATGAATGGAGGTATTAGACAATATACAGTATATTAATCAAGACTAGAATGGCAAAAGACATCTCAGGAACATTTTGTTCCCTAGCTTGGATTTTTAGAAGAGTAGAAAGAATAGATTACTGAGCTTATAGTAAATATTTAAGTATCTACTTTCAACCAGAATTAAACATTTTAGGATTTACATTTCTGAAAAGTGTTTTATGTACATGCTGGGTAAGAGCACCATGGCCAAGAAAGAATATTCCTTTCCACTACATGTAATTCCTCATTATATTTAGACCTATTAACTTCAGAAAATTTAAAACTCAAGAGGCATAGTAACCACATACAAGTAAATGTAATTACATGACATAAAGGCTCTTCAAAATAAGTATAAAGGCATATTGCCGAGAACTATACTGTCTAATTAGGAAGAAAAGATTGCCAAGACAAATCCAAGGGAATTCAAGAAGGGTCTACTATTAAGAAATCTACCAACAGGTCACATAAACCCCAAGATCAAGATAATCTTAACCCTATAGGAACCCTAAAGGAACATTTTTATTTGAATAAAAGAAATAAAATTCAATATTTTACATAAAGTAGAAGGATTCTTCCATAGTATGACAGGAAATAATTCTCTTAATGGTGAAATACTGGAGGTTTTCCTAATAATTGTTAAAGTCTAAAACAAGGAAGCAACTATATAGAATTTTCTGGGAAAATTATAGAATTTAATTTAAAATGAAGCAGAAATAAAAAATTAACACAAATCTAGAAAAAAATGTACAACCTAACAATTATAGAAAATTTAATGTCTTTCCTAATTATTAACAGTAATCACAAAATAAAATTAAAAAAAGATTTCAAGCTACTCTAATTAGAAATGTCTGTAATATGAAATATACTATACCTATATGGAATAAATATATGCAGCTTCAGTAAAATATAATACAAAGAAAATAAAGGGAAAAATTTACTATGTTCCTAGATAGGAAGTATGAGTAAGTAAGTATGAGTAAGTAGTATGAGTACATACTCATAATAGTATGAGTAAGTAAGGACATAAACTATAAATTACTTTGAGAAAAGTGAACATAATAGCTATCTAAATTTTATCCAGATCCAAAAGCTCAATTCAAACTAGGAAAAGTCACTTTAGAGGGCACATAAAGGAATAAACAGAAATAGTTAAATCAGCTTTTTTAGGGGGGAGTTAGGGAGTATTACAGGTTTATTCTTACCAAGTATTAAGACACAATATAAGGTAGGAGTAAGTAAAATGTAATAAATAATATAATAGTAAATAAACAAAAACACTAATAGTAAATAAGTAATAAATTACAATAGTAAATAAAATACATAACATGAATTGAAGAGATGTGGATAGTGGAGTTACTTTTTAAGAATATACAAATCAATAAGAAACAGGCTAAGACAGGTGGGCAATTAAGAAGATTCAATGATTAACAAAGCTATGGAATTATAGTCAATCTTGCTAATGTTCAAAAAACCCACAAAATTTTAAAAAGAGAATGTCACCTATTCTCTATTGGTTTTGAAAAAGCCAAATACCCAGACCTGAAGAACAGATACTTTCTTCATTTGTGTTAGAAGAGTAAAATCAAAGCAAATTGATAGCATGTGTCAAGAGTCTTAAATGTGTTCACACCTTATAGTTAAGTATTTCTACCTTCTGGAACTCTCACCTAAAGATGTAATTCTAAAAGTGAAAAAGGTTTAAGCTCTAAAACGTTAAGTTTTAGCCTGATTAGAACAGTAAAGAAACAATCCACCCCTCCATCAAGGAGGGACTGCCTATGCACAGGAGGGAGATATTTGTGACTACTGTGTGTGACCACAAGCACAATTCTAGGCCCTAGAAAAATCATTAAATCTTCCCAGCTCCCAAGAGCAGAAACAGAAAGCTGTGCTTTTTGTTAAGATCCAGTATCTCTTGCAAATGACATATCAGATAAAGGGTTGTCATCCAAAATCTATAAAGAACTTGTCAAACTCAGCACCTAAGAAACAAATGAGCAGGAGTGAAGAAATGGGCAAAAGACATGAACAGACACTTTTCCTAAAGAAGACATCCAGATGGCTAACAGACACATGAATAGGTGCTCAACATCACTCATCATCAGGGAAATACAAATCAAAACCACAATGAGGTATCACCTCACACCTGTCAGAATGACTAAAATGAACAATTCATGAAACAAGATGTTGGCAAGGATGTGGAGAAAGGGGAACACTTTTGCACTGCTGGTGTGAATGCAAACTGATGCAGCCACTCTGGAAAACAGTATGGAGGTTCCTCAAAAAATTAAAAAATTGTACTACCCTGTAACCCAGCAATTGCACTACTAAGAATTTATCCAAAGGATATAAAAATGCCGATTCAAAAAGGCACATGCATCCCACTGTTTATAGCAACACTATCAACAATAGCCAAATTATGGAAAGGCCCCAAATAGCAACTGATTGATGAATGAATAAAGAAGATGTGGTATATATGTGCAATGGAATATTACCCAGCAATTAAAAAGAATGAAATCTTGCCATTTGCAACAAAATGGATGGAACTAGAATGTATTAGGCTAAGTGAAATAAGTCAGAGAAAGATAAATATCATATGATTTCACTCATATGTGGAATTTAAGAAACAAAACAGATGAACACAGGGGAAGGGAAGCAAAAATAAGGTAAAAATAGAGATGGAGACAAAACATATGAGACTCTTAAATACAGAGAAATGAGGGTTGCTGGAAGGGTGCTGGGTGGAGTGATGGGCATTAAGATGGGCACTTGTTGGGATGAGCACTATGTGTTATATGTAAGTGAGGAGTCACTAAATTCTATTCCTGAAACCATTACTACACTATATGTTAACTTTTTTGGATTCAAATAAAATTTAAAAAAAATTTAAAGAAGATACAGTATCTCTAATAGCAGACACCCAGTGTTAAGAATTCTTACCCTTAGTTACCTTACTTAATCCTTAGATTAGCCTTATGAAGTAGATATTATCTACATTTAAAAGCCTACATGTCATAGACTTCCAGAATGTCTATGTCCTTGAATAGCTATTCAAAATCTGAATGCTAGGGATCTACTGTAAAGAAAACTATGTATTATAACAGACCTAGGGGGAAAAAGTCAGTGTAGATATTTAAACATAAAGGTATGAATACTTACAAAAGTGATCTTATTAATTTAAATGTATTTCCTATATTTGGTGAGAATTTAATTTTCTTTTAAGACCCTGAGATCTGGGATTTGAAGAAACATTCTTTCCTATGGATTACCTGGGATGGTGCAAAACCAGACATGTGAAAAGCTGAAAACACAAGTGGCACCTCCACCTTCAGGAGCATTTCAATATAATGAGTGCTGCAAAAGTATATCGGATGGATGCCAGATTCTATAGTGTCAGCAGGTAGGTACCTCTGCATAAAAAAGAGACATTGAGAATTAACGAATATGCGACTAATTTAAAATAATATAACCAACTTACTTAAATCTCTTGCTTTGAGTGGCTACTTCAAAATTAATATGGTGGCACAAGTAGTTACTGCAAAGATTATAATTATGCAAGTTAAAAAGTCAGAATGTTAAACACTGTAGAAAGAATAAATCTCAATAACGGCAATGTGATATACTTTCCAAGACAAAGCAATGAAGTTAATACTGTAATTCGATGCCTTGTGGAATGAAGGGGATGAATGTTGCATGAAAGAATAAATGTATGAGTACACGAGTAATAACGCTTTATATTTTAAGAGTGAATGTATTTTAATATGCTTGCTATCCTTGGCTTTGGCCAGTAGTTCTATAACATTAAAAAACTTTAGTTTGTCAGCTCTTAGGAATATTTGCATAGCCTCCTTTTTCTAAGATAATGCTATATAACCCAAATCTGAGCTTGAGTTACTAATAACTGAAATTGGGAATTCCGTAAGAAATTTATCTCTAAAACAGAACAAGGCATAATGCATTACCATCAAAGTTTTTGGGCCAACTACCTTATATGTATGTATATAACAATTTCTATAATAATTACATATTACATAATTTATATATTTTATATTTTACATTTACTTATATGTCCATTTATATATGTGTGGATATATACACACACACATTTACAAACTTGCATTTTTGGCTATTTCTTCATGAAGTTAGTTATTTTTTTAATTTGTCTCTTAAGTAAAATTTATGCCATCATGAATGCTCTATAATATTTCAATGATTGTTATCACAAATTCAGTATCTAACCACAGCATTTTTTAAACAAAGAATAAACTTGGAGATATCATTTTGTGTCAAGAAAAACTGTTAGACTACCAAGTATATGCTATAAACTTATACTAAAAATTTATATTCTAATTAGTTCTGAAGAATACATAATTAAGAAACTTCCTGAAAGGCATTTTTATGTTCTTAGCTTTACTGGGTAACTGTAATAAGAGAAAATCCTTTTAAATTAAAACAAATGAAACTTACGTATAACAATTACATACAAGTTAAGATAAGGGTTTCTTTCAAACTTTATTGCTAAAGTGCTTTTAAGGATTTAGGTTTGAGTTATACTAAAATTTCTGATACCAGTGAGGTGGTTTATCAGTGTCATCAGCATAAATTACAATTTACCATTTCACATTGCATAAATATATATTTATAGGAATACATATGTAGAAATATGAGAGGTTCTTAGAGATACCTCACAGTACACAAGAAAACATTAATTTTATATACTGATTACTGGAGACATATTATAGCATATTAAGTGGACATCTCAGAGTCAACTTCAGATGAATGTCTAGTAAAGAAATTATCTCTTTTGAATAGTTAAAAATAATATAAACTGAGAATTAGTATCCTTTAACTTACCTTCTTTTATGAAATATATGTTTTATTAATGACTATTTGTACAGAATTAATGAATCTAATAAATAGCAAAATATCAACTTACACATGTAATTTTCAATGCAAGCATAGGTAATCATTTTCTGAATATATGCATAATAGTAGTGTAAGAAATGTATGCATAAATATCATTCTTATACAGTATCTTTTTTTTTTTAATTTTAATTTGTTTATTTTGAGAGAGCAGGGGAGGGGCAGAGAGAGAGAGAGGGAGTCACAGAATCTCCAGCATCTCTGAGCTGTCAGCACAGAGCCTGAAGTGGGGCTGGAACTCATGAACCATGAGATCATGACTGGAGCCGAAGTCGGATGAAGTCGGATGCTTAACCAACTGAGGCACCTGGGCGCCCCTATAGTATCTTTCCTATGTTGCATTGAAAACAATGTATCTGGAGTTGGTATGTTTTAGAGTCCTGCCTGATTTCAGTTTTATGGAATAAATGCTATTAGAGCACAATATCACTGTTATGTTAAAAATAATGTGTTACAAAATACTTTATAGACTCAAAACAAAAATGCAACTTTATAAAATTATGATTTAAAAAAGTTGACTGGTGATATTTAACAGTGTCATGATCTAAACACTAAACTAGATGGGGCGCCTGGGTGGCGCAGTCGGTTAAGCGTCCGACTTCAGCCAGGTCACGATCTCGTGTTCCGTGAGTTCGAGCCCCGCGTCAGGCTCTGGGCTGATGGCTCAGAGCCTGGAGCCTGTTTCCGATTCTGTGTCTCCCTCTCTCTCTGCCCCTCCCCCGTTCATGCTCTGTCTCTCTCTGTCCCAAAAATAAATAAACGTTGAAAAAATAAATAAATAAACACTAAACTAGAATAACTAAGACTAGGGGAATGCAGGAATCATTTTCAAATATTTGACATGAAAATGTATGATTAGATTCAAATTCCATACTCATTATCAAAAGATTTCTCATTTGTAAATGTAAGAGTGGAATTTTTTAAAAGTTTTTATTTAAATTCTATTTAGCTAACATATAGTGTAATATTGGTTTCAGGAATAGAATTTAGTGATTCATCACTTACATACAACACCCAGCGCTCATCACAAGTACCCTCCTTAATACCCATCACCCATTTAGCCCCTCCCCCACCCACCTCCCTCCATCAGCCCTCAGTTTGTTCTCTAGACTTAGAAGTCTCTTATAGTTTACTTCCCTCCTTTTTCCCCCTCCCCTATGTTTTTTTCTTAAATTCCACATATGAGTGAAATCATATGGTGATTATTTTTATCTGACTGACTTATTTAGCTTAGCATAATACATTTTGGGTCCATCCACATTGTTGCAAATGGCAAGATGTTATTCTTTTAGATGGCTGAGTAATATGCCATTATAGGTAGGTAGGTAGGTAGGTAGGTAGGTAGATAGATAGATAGATAGATAGATAGACAGACAGACAGACAGACAGACAGACAGACAGGTAGATAGAACCACATCTTCCATCAGTCAATAGACATTTGGGCTCTTTACATAATTTGGCTATTGTTGATAATGCTGCCATAAACATTGGGGTGCTTGTGGAATATCTAAGATTTTTAAAACTCAAATTCTGGTTAACAGAAGGAAAATAGTTTCATAGAGAAAAACCAGTACATACTCTTTTGCCATTTGCTTCAGCCTACTCATGTAAGCAAACTTCTCATTATGCTGAAAAACTAGAGCTAAACATTCTTATTCAGGAATTTCATATAGCTATTTCAAGCATAAAATTTTTAAATTTCAATATTTATAATGTATTCCTCCTTGATGTTTTGCTTTTATTTTCCTTATCACAAATATATACTGTAAAAACACATAATATGTGCTTTTTTTTAACTCCACATACTTTCCAGCTCCCTTAACTTATCCCTGGGTGCCATGTGATTGCATTGTCCACATGCTCTATGTCATAAAAACGGTTTGTGAAGTATTAGCCTATCTTATATAGTAGATAGTTTCCTCAAGTTGGAATCTTAATGGCAGTAAGTAAAATAAAATACAGAAATATTGGTAAATTTAGGAACACTCTTACCTCTAAACTCCAAGATCTCATGAAGCTAGTAAAATCCTTTAAAATACACTATAATACCCTCAATCAAAACTCATCACAGATTTACAAAATGTATAGTTTTTTCCTCTTGATGGAATACACTGATAAGTTTGACTTATTTTCTTACACCATAATTTAACTGATTCTTTCTAACAAAGCAATAGTAAAAAATCCATTCAATAGTTCTTATTATATATGTATTTTTTATAATTTACTAAATCATAAGTTTAAAATTTAATCATCCATCTAGTATCACTAATCTTTCATGCAGTTACCATTAGGTAAGACATCAAGTATTTGAGAAAATGTCAAATCTGTAGCTTCAAAGAGAATCAGTCAAAAAGCATTCAGGTAGAAAACGAACATAAATTATTACAGAGCTCTCTACAAACAAGATCCCAACGAATTTAAATGGGATTTGCCTTAAAATTTCACACACTCCTTTCAAAATAGACTAAAAAGTCTTACAGAAATATGTAGTCTTGGCAGCCAAAGGAAAGCAGAGGTCAGAAGCCTGGAGAACTGCTGAAGAAATCTGAATGTTTTCTCTTTGTCCCCGCACATTATCATGAACAAAGAAGATACAAACCAGTCATGGCCAGCATAACTCCCCTGCAGGCAGACTGAAAAGCACAATTAAGGAACTTTTACAATATTTTATCTTAAAAGATGAAATATGAGAACTCCATTAATATTCATTTCCAGGATCCCTGTCAGGAAAGAGGTATTGATACTTAGCCCTCATTTTATCTTCAACCAATTTACAAGCTAATGTACTGTTTACTTACATGTTCAGTGGAGGCCAATGGCACTAGCAAATGGAGAAAAAACTATCTGCCCTGTGGCAACATTTGTTCAAATCATTAAATAGTACCCTTTCTTTCTCTGGTTTAGGTTATCTGCTAAATTACTAGCATAATCAAGTATAAAAAACCCACAAATATTTAGAATTCAGTAATGCAAATGGTTTGTACACTTTTTTTCTCCCTTCAGGTCAAACCTATTTTTGAAAAATAACCAATTCAAGCAAAATGAATGTATGTTCCATTACTATTCTAGATTTACTAAGTCTGGAATATGCTTTTCTAGATACACTAAACCTATTTTTAAAACTTTCTTGTATGTATCTGAAAATACAGCCTAATAACTTTACTCAGTTTAAGATTCAATGAAGAAGACTGAATTTAGTAGTTAATACCCAATCTAATAAAATGCATATTTAAAATACAGAATAGTATAAAGGTACATGATAACAAATCAGTAATATAGGTTAAAGTATTATTTTACTATAAATGTGTTAAGGTCCCCTATCAAAGAATTATGAAAAATACATAAAGAAAGTTCAACTACTGTGAATCCACTCAAAAAAGGATACGAAGAGAAGATTTTATGGGTACTTGCTGCTGTTTCAGGAATCTCTCACAGTGCTTTAAAACCAACGTAAGATCATTTTCTGCACTGTCTTTCAACAGGTTGAGGAACTTGCCATACCTATATTAAAAACCCACAAAACATAAAAACTGAAAAATGTCAGGTCTGCATTGTAAATTCACTTTTTAAAACCTATCAAGAGCAGTCCTCTTCTTGATAGCATAAGTATGCTATACAGAACTTAGTAAAGCTTAACACTCAGTGTATGTTCCTGATAATTATTTTTGGATTAGATAATGATATTTGAATTAGATTATTATATCTGGTAAATGCTGACATTTTAAAGGAAAATAAAACAGTACTGACAGAACAGAATGTAAATACTTAGATGAAAAGAATGCAAGCATTTTTTTCCTGAACTTAATCTAGAACATGTAATGTTGACAGCTTAGACTGACAGAATGTTAACACTGGAAGCAATTTTAGATTTCGTCTAGTCCAGTGGTTCTGAGGGGAGGGTACTTTGTCCTGGGGCCACTTTGGAAATTCACGGGGGTGTTTCTGATTGCATAGTGAATGGGGGCACTACTGGTACTTGGTGAGTGGTGGCCAGGAGGTTAGACATGGGGCAGTCCTGCACAACAGCTTGAAATGGCCTGGCTGTTACTTGCATGGATGAAGAAGCTATTTGTAATTATCTGAAACCAATTCTGTATTATATAAAATCATAAGATGTTTTTTTTCTATATTTTTTATTATAAATCGAATGCAACCATGTGCACATCAGAGGAAGGAAGTACTTTCATTTCAAGCCTAAAACTTGTTCACCATTCTGGAAAGTTACTTTGCCAGTGGCAAAACTCTACTAGAGGTATTTGAAGCACCAAAATACTGTCAGTCTCTATTTACAGCTGCCAAAGTTACAATGACTATTTGGTTGACAGCTATGTCATATACTGCAGGTGTGTACAAACATTTCATTACAAAGTATTTTCCATTCACTTCTTACCAATAAGACATTGTACTGAATTAAAAATATATATATATATGACTAGCCTGCTTATATTATCTATAGATTCCATTTCAGAATAGAAACTGGACATTACAAAATAAAAAGCAGATAGAGGACAAAACAATTAATTATATGCTTTATGTGATACAGATGGATGAGCTAAAATTACTTTAATACATTTCATTATAATTTCATTATGTTACGTATTTATGAAAACATTCTTTTTAAAAGCTTCCACATGCATCCTTTTTATACTTGATTCTAAAGATTACCCACTGAAGTAGGAGGGAACTGTCAAGATCTCCATTTAATAAGCAAGAGAGAAGACTTAGTCCTTAATTCCCAGTCTGCCATTTAGTTTCTTTTGAAAATTACAATTTGAGTACTAAAAATTCAAACTACTATAATTGGCTTATTCATTTTTAACTTCTGTGTCTATCCTTAAGGTACTTTTGTACTCATCACCATAGTTTAACAATTAAAATCTACCATATTTTAGGGGCACCTGGGTGGCTCAGTCAGTTAAGTGTCTGACTCTTAGTTTTGGCTCAGGTCATGGTCTCACTGTTTTCGTGAGTTCAAGCCCCACGTTGGGCTCTGCACTGGCAGCACAAAGTCTGCTTGGAATTTTGTCTCTTCCTTTCTCTGCCCCTCCCCCACTCACACTGTTTCTCTCTCTCTCTCTCTCTCTCTCTCTCAAATAAACTTAAAAAAAAAAAAAAACTACCATATTTTAGAAAATGGCATGATTGCGCTACCAAAGTGCTGATTTTTACAATACTCTTTTTTTTTTTTTTTTTTTTTTTTTTGGTAAAAGCCAGGAGTCATAGAGGCTTAAATATACTGTAATTAGCCTCTGAAGTGATAATGAACCATAAATGATGTACTGGCAGAGGTAATTTAATCATATGCCAATATCCTCAAAACAAAGTTATTATTTTCTGAATGATAGACTCTGCATTTAAAGTACACAAAATAGTTGGTTGTTAAATACTATTAAGCACATATCAGGTAGATAAAACAAATTCTAGAAATGAGCAAGGGAGATATTTCCCTGTAATATACCTGACAGTCATTTTAATGCCAAGCTGCTGCACAGATGAAAGACTTTCGTTCTTCACATTTGCATCAGTAGCTAAACACAAAAGAAAACTGGGTTATAAAAATGTATAAAAGTCTGCATAATAATCACAGTTTAATTGCAAATTGATGAAAGTAATATTTTTACATATTTTAATGTGAATTTTGAAAACACTGATGAATTTGTTCTTTTAAGAGCTGTCAGTTATATTTTCAAAGAAATTAATAAGAAACTTTACAAATAACTTTTCTCCTATAAAAATCATTTAAAAGCATATTAAATACAAACAACTAATTGTAGTTTTAAAGCAGCCTATTTTTACTCGAATCTCAGAACACAAAAGGTGTTAACCCAAAAATGATCTAGGATATTGTACTATAATCAAGCACTGCATATATAAGATTTTGAATTACAAATATGTATAAGTATGGCTGTTTACCTCTTAAAGATTTAAGTCAAGAAGGAATAATCAGTTACTACTTATAATGTATAACAATATATGAGGGTGGAGTGAACAAGGTTCTTCCAGCAGGTGCATTTTCTTTGTGATGGAGGAGTTGTGGTCTACCAAAAGTGAAGGGGCTGTCTGGACTACGGGAGAGACTGAAAATTTGGATTAGTTCTGGAGAACACTGGATTACCAAGCTAACAGTGAATGCTCAAAAGCATCACTAGGTAGCGCTAAGGGGTCTAGTGGAAACTTTCAGTTTTTGGCTGAAGAAACTGTAGCATGCATTCAGACAGACACACAATATTAAGGGAACTGTCCAAAATCACATAGTTATCAAGTGGCAAAGAGAACTAAAATCTGGGTTTCTCATACTCATATCGGTGATTTTTTTTCCTCCCATTACACACTGGTGCATCTCATCCTATCAATATAATCTACTTAACTTGTAGACTCATTCACTCCTTTTAATACACCCTTTTGGATAAAGTAACTTGCATTACCATGCTAGAAGCTGTGGGGGCTACAAGATAAATCATACATCATGCCCTAAAAGAACTTCCCACGTAGTGTCAGAGATAAAATTCATATATAGGTAACTCTGATAAAAATGTTTTAAAGTACTAAGTGGAACAAGAATGGTACAGATAGAGAGTTATGTGAATTCAGAGAGAGAGATTAGGAAGAAGCGGCATTTAAACTGAACCTTAAAATATGGTTAGGCTTGAGATCTACAGACGTAAGGAAGAGAAACAAATTAAACATCACTGTTATCAAACATCTACTCATTGGACCAGCAATAATTCATCTTTTAACACTCTTAGAGGTAAGGTACATCTAGAAGCATCTCCTAGTTTGCCTAGGACTAGAGTGGTTTTAGCACTGAAAGTCTCATGCCCTCATAGTCCTAGCCAAACCAGAGTGGTTTATCACCTATGTAGAGTGGCAATTTTCTTAAAAAAAAAAAAAAAAAAAAAAAAAAAAAGATAAAATACCAATGTGCTCTGTTAATTTCTTGACAAGCTACACCTGAGTTTTTCTTATTTAGATCAGAACACAATCTTAGCAGTATTGTTATATTTTGCCTATAATGATAGCAGTTAAGCTACTTTTTATGTATCTTAGAATTCCTCCCTATTTATAACTCTAACTTTACTAATAGATGTGCATTCTAAATATACAGATTGCTAAGGACAGCTCTGCCCCATTTGTATAAGCCAGTAATTCTGCCTCCTTCTCTTAGAAAAAAAAAAAAAAATGAGTTTTCATTACTTGACGCCAAAAACATATATGTCACAAATTATTCTCACTCTCACAAAATGGTCAATTTTTAAAACTATTAATCATCATTCATCATGTTCACCATAATTTTAAGTTCTTAGTATTATCAATGGCATTTAAAAAGAAACCAGCCATACTTTAAGCATCATTTTTAATGTCCCCTACAATATAATCAGGTTAAATTCATTTGGACAGTGACCAGGATGTTCTTTCTATGTCAGTACCTGAATCTAACTCCTGGTGATCCTATATTTTATTAGCAATTGTATTTCAGTTTCCCAAGTTTAAATAACATAAAACTTTAGTGCTGTAGTGTTGGTGACACTGGCTGACTTTATAAAATTCAAGAAGTTTCAGTAAAATAAATATTTTGGTTTTATATATTTTTAGAACCATGAAATAGACCTACCTCCAATCAACTATCATAATGGGAGATTATAAGATTGATTTTTTTTTTATTAGTAAGCTATCAAATTTTCTTTAGGTATACCTTATATTCAAAGAAATATAATTAAGTATATAGTTTAATTAGTTTTGACAAATGCATACAAGCTGTATAACCGACATCCCTCTAAGATGTAGAAAATTTCCCTCACCTAGAAGTTCCTCATGCTCCCTTCCAGCCAATTCCTGCATATCCTTCTTCCCTAAACTAGCTACTATTCTGATCTCTTTCACTGTTGGTGTAGCTCTACTTAGAACATCATATAAATGGATTCACAAGTATATACCCTTTTATGTTTGTTTTTATTTCACTTAACACAGTGTTTTGAGATTCATTCCATACTGTTGCATGTTACCAAGTTTTTTTTTTTTTTTAATTACAA